CAGCGGAGTGGTGACTTTTTATAAAGCGGCATCCATCCTCTTTCGTTTACGGGGGGCGGGGTTGGGGGGTTGGGCCAAATTTCTTTTCCATTTCTTGTGCGTCATCTTATATAAACTTTTCGCTTTTCTTGAAAGCTGGAAACAGCCTCATCAGTTCAACAAATTTTAATAGAAATATGTACATATGTATAACATTACCAACGTTTTTTTACGATTAAAATTTTGATAGTTACATTTTTTAATTGAATATTTTTACAGGTAAGACTTTATGTCGGCCAACAGATCTTTCATATTTGAAAAATGTAGAGTAAATAATACTTCCTTTCTTTTAAATATTATTGAACAAGGATTCTTAAATATTGCTCTGACATTTCAAAAGTTTTTTAGTGCGTTATATCGATATATCGATATTTCAAAAATTATATTAGATTTTTATAGTAACTTCTCCAGTAAATTTAGAAGAGAAAACTATCAGAAAAAGTTAATGAACACGAAACTAGCAAAAACTTGCAAGTGAACAGCTGTTGCACTGTTTTGACATTCTGCTGTGAACATTTTACTATTTATAAATACGTTTTAAACTCTGCTTTACACACAAGCACTTACACAGTCCAGTACATCATTGATATTCTGATTTCCACTAATTTTACTTTTGTCTGTGCTAAACCAATTCCATGATAGAGCTGCAAAACTATCGATTGTACAATCGATAGTTTTATTTTTGGAAAAACATCGATTGTTTTTGGGCGATAGCCCATGTGCATGTATGCAAATTTTTTTTTCCGGATCCCGATCATTGCCTAAGAAAACACGGCTATTACCCTGCAAAAATCGTTGGACCATGTAGTCTATTTGTGGTATATTGGAGTACNCCCATGTGCATGTATGCAAATTTTTTTATCCGGATCCCGATCATTGCCTAAGAAAACACGGCTATTACCCTGCAAAAATCGTTGGACCATGTAGTCTATTTGTGGTATATTGGAGTACTTACAAAAGTGCTCCTCTGTCATGCTGTAGCGGACCAACTCGTGTCTCTGCACCAGCTTATTGTTACCCGATCACTGCTCGTGTTTTAACGAAATGTGATTGAAGTTAAGCATTTGAAAGTACATTTGCATGGCTGGCTGTAGCTGAACGTGTAGAGATGCTCGCTGTTAGTTCTTAGTTCCCAGCATGTTCGGGTTCGAATGTCGTCAGAGGCAACATGTAATTTTTAATTTTTGTCTTTGGTTTTTATTAATTTCAAAAAAAGCATATGCGAAGTGAAGAACAAAAGCGCGTACAAACGAAAAAATATAACGACAATGTCATTGGAGTATGTTGGGAGTAGTTTTGTGCTACTCTGATGTAATGCAGAGATGGAGTATATGGTCCTGCCCTAGGACATCGCAATGTTAATTGGACCATATTTTTTATATGAATTGTGGTTAATTTTGGAGTACTCCTTAGTCCTTCGGGAGTACTCTTTACATGCATGCATGGAGTAGTCGCGATTTTTGCAGGGTAACACCTTCGGCATAGATAACATGTTTTGTGTTCTTAAAGTGTTCTTACACGATATGTATTTCCATCTGTAAATCTAACTGTTTAGATACATATGTAATTACACCTGTATGTCAAACTCACAGTATTTAATTAACTGTTCAAAATAAGGTTTTTTGAAAATAAAGCCTGCATTTCTTTATTCATTCTGAACGTTTGGAATAACCTTTTTTGTTTACTTATTATTTAGAACGTTCTTGATGATATGTTAACGTATATTTCAAACGCATTCTGTTTATTCTGGCTGTGAAATTGGATTATCCGGAATGTATAAAGAAACGCAGCCAAAATAAAACAGACATAGATGATTTTATCTGTATATACATTCAATTTATTCAAATCCGATGTTTTAATGACGTTTTAATATTTTAAGGCGTTTTAAGGCGTATACTTAAAGGTTCTCGTAAACGATGAGAGTAATTTTCGTGATAGCCCTACTCTAATCCTCACCGCCTAAATAGCAAAGAGAGAGGGTATTCACTCTCATCAAAAGAATGATAGAATCTTATATTCGCGCGGTCTTAGCGGCGATATTTCTTAAGTTAAAACAGGTAATTTCATCAATATTAATTTTTGTTTTAGAAAACGTTCAATTGTGCTAAATTGTAGAAATATGTATGACTTAAAAGAATAATTTACAGAGAAAAGGTCAGAAAATGGTGATTTTGTGAAGGGTAAATGTCGGTGCATTTAAAGTTTGAGGCGATGTTTACTTATACTTGAGAATTGTCAAATCCGGCAATACCAAAGTACCCAAGAATGATAGAAAAGATTGCGCATTCCCGACGGCGAAGACATTTGTGGGTAAAAAGTAGCGAAGCCGAATAGGAGGATAAAACAGAATGTGAGATTAGTCAATTTTCTTAATATTCCATTTTTAGATAGGAAACGTGTTTTAATTCTTTTTAAATTGTGAAAATATATGACTTGTAATACTAATTAATAGGGGAAATGTGAAAAAATTGTGATTTTAGTTAAAGTATAGTGAATTTCGGTGCATTTTAAGTTTTTGAGGCGTTGTTTATGAACATAGATAACTGTAAGAATCGGCAAAGCCACACAATATAGATCTACGTTATTTGACAAAACCAAAGTAGCGGTTTGCGGAATGCGCCACCTTCTGTTCGCTACCTTGTGCCATAGCACCGGTACCTCTGACCGCGCCATCTTTGTTCTCTGCATAGTGACTCTCATCTTAAAATAACACTCTCACTGGTATTCTCAGCTCTCATCAAGAAGAATTCGTATAAGGTGGTATCGGTAGTACAAAAACTATTTGGCTTTCGGTACACAAATTTCTTCGCTGAAGGAAGAAGTGGGAAAGAAAGCTTCAAAGCTCTCACTTTCTAAAAGCTTAAACAGACGGCAGCGTTGATCCGGATCAACTCGGGAATTAACTGCAGTTGATCCAGATTAAGTCTGAGTTAATCCGGATAAACGCTGCCGTCTGTTTAAGCTTTAACTCACTCACTCATAAGAAACTTTGACACATGCAAACCGCCTTAAATAAATTTAACCTTAGCTCTCATATAGGGCATGTTGAGTTTTCATTAGTTGTTTTCGATTACAAATTATCCAGTAACTTTTACTGGATTTTACAGGAAATGAGTCAACAAACACCACTATTTGTATGCTTTGATATTTCACTAGACGTATTTGCACGAAATACATATAAGGCCAGGATTTACCTAATCGGTGTGAGCATCCTTATTATTTTTCTATTGTTAAATCTTCTCTTTTATGAATCTAACACGTGCAGTGTTAAAATGAGACACAGTTTGCGCGTCAACGCACATGAGAATATTCATATCAAAATAGAGCCATCTCATGAAAATCACTCTTATCGTTTACAAGGACCTTAATACAACTTTTCTGCTGCTTTCGTTAGTCTCTTTGAAGCTTCTTCAGTAAAATCCTGTAGTAATTGAAATCGGGTAATCTCAGCGTTCTTGGAAAACACATGTATCCGAGTTCACTTCAAACTTTGCACAATGCTGCCAGCATACAGTGCTAACGACTTTGCAATGTCTTTTTGTGTCATTTTTCGTCGCTTCGTCCCAACCTTCATCTTCGTTATCTGTCTTTTGGTAAACGTGCCGGCCAGTGTATGTTCTACATTTTTAATTTCAGCAGCCATTTCAGCCAAACGCTTTTGCAGCGCCTCCAATTCCGACGAGTTTCTCTTCAATTGCAGGTTGGACTCCCGCTTCAATGAAGCAAGCTCGATACTTTGCTTATGGTTTTCCTTCTTAAGGAGTGCATTTTCGCGCTTCAATGTCTCTCTGTAAGTACGAGAAAAAATATAAATTATTATTTGATTTGCACGTTAAAATCTGTTAATTATTAACGAACACTTCAGTCTTCAAAACTTCCTCTTGTTGAAAATTGGTGTCATAGTAATAACGGATCTGTGATGTTGGAGCATCAACAGTACCGTCCTCGGGCCGATATTCTTTATTAGCTTCAGACAAAACAACTGTAATAAACCACTGACATTAATAATATAGTTTTTATGGTATAATGGTTTTTGCTACCTTCGCAGCTATATAGTAAATCCTCTATGC